GGGGGTGCCGTGGAACCGTATAAGTGTAGTGAGTGTTGGTATAATAAGCCTAAAGTAAAGACATAGTGTGGGAGCACCTAGCCTAGAGCCAAGTGCATAAAATTTATCATGAAGGTAAAAATATCGTTTCAATTTTAAACTTAAATCGTTTCTAAGTTAAGCTATTTTCTGTTATATCACCAATGTTTTTAATAATAAAAAAGCCTATTTAATCAACGGAGACTCTAAATTAAGAAATCAACAAATATTTTTTGCAGTTTTGTTGTCTATACGTTTCATTTTATACTTTCAGTACATAAACTAAGAACAATATTAGGTTATACTTTTGGAATACCTAAAGAGATATTCCCATGAATTAATGGTTATAGCTCCAAAAGAATCACATTTTTTGTTTAATGGTAAGGTTTATGATCAGAAAGATGGAGTTAGTATTGGTTCCTGTTTGGCCATCATATTGGCTAATATATTTATGTGTTTTAATCAAAAGAAATGGTTAGAAGAATATACAAAGGAAATTAAACCGATAGTGTATAAAAGATATGTAGACGACACATTTACGATATTTGAAAGTGAAGAACAAGTTGATAATTTTTTTGAATTATCTGAATAAACAGCATAATAATATTAAATTCACGGTAGAAAAAAAAGAGATTGCATGTTACCTTTTTTAGTCACTCTAGTTAAGAAAAAATATGATAAATTTGAAATCGGAATTTATCATAAGCCTGCATATTCGGGGTTGTACTTTAACTATAATAGGTTTATACCTAATAACTTTAAAGAGAATCCAATCAGAATTCTCGTATATCGAACTCATAAACTATGTAGTAATGTTGAATTGTTTAAAAATAAAGTGGAAAACATCAAACATTCCTGTCAGTTAATATCGGTTGGACTTTACATGACAGTCCAGTCATCCTGTTCTTTGGTCAGTCACCAGTGATTGATAGCCAGAGTCTTTCCATATTACGAGAGCATTTACTTTCATTTGCCACTGTTGATACAACTTGATATAGCATATCTTTGAACAGTCGATCAAATAAACGGTATTTGATAGCGACGCTCAGGCTAGACATGCACCTACTATTTACACGATTCAAGCAATAACCTGACATTCTGCATTAAAATGTTACTTTGCATATGCAAATTAATTCTATGTAGCAGGAGGTCCTAATAAAGCAGTAGTCAGTATATAACACCAACTCACCAGTTTGTCATAATTTTATCATACAAAGTTTATAGTAAATGTAAAACAATCGAACGCCATTTGCTTTTAAACTTCTCTTAGCAAACGAAATTACTTTAATTGTTGTTTAAGATTCAAGCTAATAGTTGAAAAGAGATTGACTTTTCCATTCAAATCCTTGCTTTCCACGTAGTATGCAGTTTGTTGTTTTTCAAATATCAGATTATTTCGTATAAGTATTATAAATTATAAAACAAATATACAGTAAGAAGATAGAAATGGCATGGTTTCCAAAATGAAGGCCTAACAAACGCTCCAACTCAAATCATCCTATTATGGCGATGAGCGTAAATTTTCAAAGTCAGTAATGACGCAGCTAGAGAGAATTTCGTTATATTAGCTAATAAGATACCCGTTGACTTTCAAACAGTCCCAAAATTATACGAATTCAAAGAGAATGCTTGCGCTAGCAATAAGTCCAGTTCCGGAAACATACAGTAATATTCCGGATAAGATGAACTATGGTAACCACGCAGTTAAGTTTCTATGATGAACTCTAAAGATAGCTGTAATCATTAAAAACAACTGGTTCTTCTTGTGTTCAAGATCACAAAAAAAAACCTAAAAATAAATTATTTTTCGGTCAGAACTTCTTGAGATATGACATATTACGGAAATAATAAAAAGCTACTACATTGATAGTTCTGAATATAACCGTATATTATACACAAATCGTATTTATTAAACCTATACACGAAATTATTTACGATGAAAATACTTTAATATACAAAATATGCTCTATTACTTTAAATATCGTATTATCTTTCATCAAAACGCGTACATTTTAACTGGGAAAAGTCTGTATACTCTAATTAATTTTTTTAGGGTGATTAAAAGTCTTTTAGGGGTGTCCAAAGAGAAGGAAGTTTTTATTATTTTCATCCAACAAATAATAGTAAAGAAACGCCATGGTTTCTTGTACTAGATAGTTTTTATACATAGCCAATAAACAAAATATTTTATGCCTAAAAAGACCCCCCTCTCCCAGTGGCTCAGCAGTATATCTGCGCTAAAAACCGGTTTTCGATAGCCGTGGATGTCACAGCACAGATATCCCAATGTGTAGCTTTGTGCTTAATAACAAGCAAACAAAAAAAGCC